TGTGTGTGTGTGTGTGTGTGTGTGTGTGTGTGTGTGTGTGTGTGTGTGTGTGTAAGCCAAAAGTCAGAAGTAGGATATTGTCCCTTAACTGTTGTTATTTGTTTGTTTTGTTTTTGAGACAATCTTTCACTGGCCTAGAGCTTGGCAAATAGGGTAGGCTAGCTGACTAGAGAGCCCCAAGGATCAGCCTATTTCTGCTCTGCCTCCCCATGGTTGGAATGACAAGCTTTTTACATGACTTCTAGCCATGTAAAGTTTTTGAGGCAAAAACTTTACCAATTCAGTTGTCTTATCCTCTAAGACTTCTGTAATCTTAAACCATCAGATTTGGGGCCATTTGTTCCAGCAACCTGTGACTGCTAACACATTGGTTGGCTAAGAGACTCAGGTGAGAGATGGCAGCCTGAGGCTTATCATAGCTTTCCTAGAGATTCTATAGGATAAGAGTATAGAATGTAGTGGACAGCCTTCTGGAACTATGGAGCAGGAACAACGCACAGCAGGAACAACCTCAGCCTAAGCTGTGACAGTCTGAGAGCTTCAAAAGGGACAGGCTTAGGGAAGCCAGCTACAGAAAAGTTGTAGTTAAACTGAATGGGGCCTCATCTGGCAGGTGACACAAGGAGACTGGTAAAGCTGGCTGTCGAGGTTGAGGGTAGTCAGAGAGAAACTAACAAAATCCACATCTTTCTAGGGTCATGGATTCACTCATGTAATTCTCTCAGCACTTCCAGATTTATATTTCCAGCATGCAGATATCCTATAAGGAAGCTGAGCTGGCAGGGTAGAATAGTAACTTCCATATGTGCCACAGTCAGCAAACAGCAGAGTGGAAGTTGGTCAGCCTCAGCTATAGGCCCATAGCGCCCATCAAAGGGGCAGTACAGAAAAAGGGTCAGGGTCCCCCCCCACACACACCAGTAAGGGACTGATTTGGGGAAGAGGTAGGTTTTGTCATGAGCTGCAGAGGTTGTTTTGGGTAGAGTATTCTGAGTAAGGTAGCCAAGTAGAGATGTCCTCGGCGGTCAGGTTTGTAGAGAGCATGAAGCATGCTGAGTCTAGGGGCAGAGAACTCTGCTGTCCTGTTGAAGATTCTGTTTCCAAAGCCCTTTGGTGGTAGATGGAAAGGACCCAGGTGGGTGAGGTAAAAGGATTCAAGAAAAAAGAAAGGCTAAGATCAAGGTGAAGAGTGGAGAATGAGAAGGGGCAGGAGGAGGAGGGATGCTCAGGGCAAGGTTTCAGGCTCTCTCCCTCCTTCAGGTTTTGTACAGCTTCATGAGATACAATCCACAAACCGCACAATTCACCCATTTAAAGTGCACAATTTAACAGTTTTTAGGATTTCTTCAAATACATGCAGCCAACACTACAATGGGCTTTAAGAATATTTTTATCATCTCTGAAAGAGACCCCACTTCAGGATAGTGGCACAAGCCTGTTGTCCTTGCACTTGAGATGATAAGGCAGGAGGATTAAAGAGCCAAGAGCCTGTCTCAGAAAAACAAAACAAAATCAAAACAAATGGGGATTGATAGAATGGTTCAGAGTATCAAGGTGCTTGCTGCCTGCCTGAATATCATCCTGGGGACCCGCACGGTAAAAGGAGAGAACAGATTCTTACAGGTTGTGCTGTGACTTCCACTTGTATGTACACATGCATATGCATATGACACACACATGAGCTCACACAAACAGTAAAGAAATAAAGTAGGAGCTAGAGAGATGGCTTGGCAGTTAAGAGCACCAGATGCTCTTCCAGAGGACAGTAGTTTGATTTCCAGCACCCACAGAATTACCTTTAGCTCTAGTTCTAAGGGGAAATGTGATGCCCCCTTCTGGTTTCCATGGGTACTACACCCATGTGGTATAAACACATATGTATACTCCAACTCCTCAAATGTATTAATAAAATTAAATAAAACAGGAGCTGGAAATATGGCTTAGTTGTTAAGAGTAGTAGTTGTTCTTCCAGAGGACCCTGAATTGATTCCCAGCATTCACATAGAAGCTCACAACTGCTGTAATCCCAGTTCCAAGGGATTCAATGACCCCTTCTAGCCTTCATGAGCACTGCACACAAATGGTGCATAGACATCCATACAGGCAAGATACCCATACACATAATTTAACAATAATTTAAAAATAAATGTAATAAAACCCATAGATAAGCAAGTAAACCAAAAGCTACCCCACATAAACATTAAAAGCCAAACCAGACAAATTGTATTTCATCGTGATTTGAAAATATCTGTGCATCTACACATACTGTCAAGAGAGTGAACAGAAAAGATTATATATTTGATGAAGAGTTAGTAGTCAGTATGTAGCTAGAATTTTTAAAGCACAAAAAGACAGCACAACTCCATAGCATGCTCTTCCAAGCATTTCTAACTTCAACCACAAGTTAATCCTAAGATTTCTTCCACAAAACCAGGTATGGTGACAACAATGATCCTAGTTCTTGGCACCAGTTTCCTAAATATCTTTCAGTACAGTCAAGGTAACAACCAAAGTGAATTATCATGTATATGCCTTGGAATAAAAAAGTTGAGTTACATGCCAGTACCATGTTTAACTTCCTGAGAAACCATAAAATACATAAAAATATTTTCCAAGATGACACCATTTTTGTGTGTTTGTGTGTGTGTCTCTCTGTGTGTATGTAGGTATATGTATGTGTTTGTATGGGTGTTTGCATGCAGTATATAAATATACATATGCAAATGCATGTGTAGGTGAAAGGTCACAAATTGTATATTATCCTCAACTGCTCTTCATTTTAGGTTTTTGGACAGGGTTTTCCACTGAACTTAAGCTCACCCGTTCAGCTAGAATGGCTAGCCAATGAACTCTAGTCATCTATGTGTCTCTCTCCACACCACCACTGCCTCTGCCCTTCCATTCATGGACCAAGTTATACAACTTATACATGAATTCTGTTATTTTTGCTTGGTTGGTGTGGCAGGTACTTTAACAACTGAGTCATTTCCCCAGCCTTGGCAATATCATTTTATATTGCTACCAGCAACTTAGACATATTCTAATGTTTTCTCATTATTACTGGGTTTTCTAGTCTTCAAGAAATATATATTGAAATTATCAGGAGACCCTACTTCACACTGAATAGAATGTCAACAACAAGAAAGCAAGCCTAGAAGGTTGTAAGCAGAGCTTACCAGGTAATTCTGGTGGGAACTCAGAGGACCAGAATGCTGATAAGGATGCAAATATTAAAACCTATGATTGCAAGCTTTCAATGAGAATGAAAGCAATATTGAGAATTGGCCTAGAGACAATTTGTATTATGCTATGGAAAAGATATTGTCTTCATTTTTGCCCATGCCCTCACACTCACTGTAGGTTAAATTTAAAGGTGATAGACTAATTAATCTGGCAGAGGAAATTTCAAGCAGGCCAACATTCAGTTTGTGGCATAGGTATTATTGGATCTTTAAAGCCAAATTTAATGTAATCAGAGCAAGATGGAAGAGAGGGCTGGTGACATGATTCAGCAGGTAAAGGCATCTGCTTTCAAGCCTAATGACCTAAGTTTGACCCCCCAGGACCCATCTTGTGGAAAGAGAGAATCAACTCCCACATTTGTCCTCTGGCCCCCTCACATGTGCACATGTGTGCATTCTCTCTCTCTCTCTCTCTCTCTCTCTCTCTCTCTCTCTCTCTCTCTCACACACACACACACACACACACACACACTAAATGAACAAAGATGTGTTATAAAGTTCCAGCCAATGAAGATGCTGCTGAAGTGATAGTAGCTACTTCATGATGCCATAGACCAATGTCTGGAGAGAATCTCAGAAATTAGTAAGGCCACAGTCACCACACTTCAGGGATGTAAAAATACAAGTTGCTTTCAAAGACTTTGTAGGGTAGGGCCTTTTGAGAGGACAGCTCCAGTATGCCCTACTTGTCTCAATCTGCTTAGTGAACTGTGAATTGTTTTTCTGGGATTGTCCTACTTATTCATCTAGGAAGGGACTCAGAAGCCACTGTAGCAATCGTTCAAGTGGGATCAGATGTAGCTCAATCGAGTAGCAGGACTTGACATACTCTGTGTGGTGATTTTCCAGATGTTCAGAATGCAAGAGTTGCAGGGTTTGTAGCTGCTGCCACGTAGGTTTTAAAGGAAAGCCTGGGCAACTGGGAGATAGATGTGGGGTCAGGTCAGGATCCCTCTAGGTAGTGCACACAGCTGTGAGGGTGAAGCTGCAGCTTCAGTGGAGACTGCAGGAAGCTAGAGATGCCCAGACCAGGTAACTCTGCTGAAGAAAGCTGTAGGAAGCCAGTCCAAGACAGACAGACAGACAGAGACAGAAACAGAGACAGAGACAGACAGAGACAGACAGACAGAGACAGAGACAGAGACAGAGACAGAGACAGACAGACACAGAGGTAAGAGCAGAGAGGTAGGGCTATCTAAGCCCTTTGTAGCTCACACCATATACTTCTGATGCCATTGGATATGGAGTTACATGATTTAATGTTATGCTGGCTTTCTACCTTGCTTTGGTTCAATCCGTACTCGATGTGACTCCATTCCTGCCTTTTGGAAGGTGAATGGTTACTCTGTGCCATTGTGTGTTAAAACTACATAACTTGTAGTTCTTTTAAAACATTTTTTATAGGGATTCAATACTAACCATGAGTGAGACTTTTGGCTTGGACTTTTGGAACAGTTAAGACATTAAGGAATCTTGGGAGTGCATTTTTAGACTGAGTACATTTTTTGTCATGAGATGGACATGAGCCTTTGGCGACCAGTGGCAGAATGCTACACTGAATCTACAATGTTTTCTAAAAGGTCTATGTGTTAAATGTTGGTCTCCAGTTTTGTGCTGTTGGGAGGTGGTACAGCTGCCTATGGACTGAAACCTTTAAAATTGTAATTCTAAATATATATATATATATATATATATATATATATATATATATATATATATTATAAATTTTTGGTTTATTTAAGAAAAGATTTTTCTGTGTTGTCCTGACTGTCCTGAAACTCAATCCATAGACCAGGCTGGCCTTGAACTCAGAGATCCCTGGCTCTGCTTTCTGAGTGCTGGGATTAAATGTGTGCACTACCACTGTCTAGCTAAATGAATCTTTTATGAGTTGATTTTTCTTCTTTTTGGGTGGTAGTGGGAGGACAAGGCACCCCTAAGTTGCTCAGGTTGCCTTCAAGGTCCTAGATTCAAGACATCCTCCTGCTTCATCATTTGAATGAGCTGGATAAGAGGTATGCATCACTGTGCTCAGCTCAAGTATTCTAGCAACAGAAAGCTGATTGACAGCATTTACCCCAAAGGTTGAGAATGTGTACTCAAACTCAAACCTGTACTTGAATGACCAAAGCATTATTGACAAGAGCCCAAATATGGAAACAATCAGGATGTCTGATGACAGATGAATGGGTGAACCAAATACTCTGTTAGCCACACAATGAAAGATGTTCAGCCTTCAAATGAGATTAAAGATAGATAAAGAAACTCTGAGGACATTATGCACTATGATGGAAGCTAGACACGAAAGACTACAAAGTACAGAATTTCATTTTTATGAAATTTCCACCACAGGGACAAGCCAGAAGTTACCAGAGGTAGAGAAGGTAGCAGGAAAATCCCCTTAATGAGAGGGGATTTATGGAAATCTTTTGGAGTTCCATAGTGGTGCTGGCTGAAAACATTAGAAATATATTTAATGCTACTGAACTGTATACTTTAAAATGGATAACGTGGTCAATTTTATGTTAGGTCTGTTTTATCACAAAAATAAAACGAGAAATTTTGTGCCCTTTAGCTAGGCCCCAGCCACCCAGCCACCCAGTTCCTGGCTCCTTCCTGTTACTCACTCACTTTTTGAGAAGGATCTCTGAGGCTCCCTTGCTGAAGAGGCGGAAGCCACCATCAGGCATGCGGATAACTGTGCTCATGGACTTGCGAACTGAATTGAAGGTGTATACTTTGTAAAGCTTATCTTCCGGTATCTGCTCTCGTACAGGCTGGAAGTCACGTTTCAGGTCCAAGATGAAGCCCAGCAGAGCACACTCTGTTTTGTTGCCCACCTGGCGTGGGAGAGCGCCTTCCTTCTCTGGAGGCTATAGGCAAGGACAGTCAGCTTGGCATCAGGGCCCAGAGCACCCTCTTTTCCATCCCCAAGGCCATGGCCATTGTGTAGCTAGGGAACGGTGGCATAGAACAGAGGGAGGGCACCCATGTTGGTTACACAGGGCATGCCCTGGCTGCAAAGTGGCCCTTTGCAGGTTTTCCATCACTTACCATGCGTGGAAAGAACTTCTAGCACCCACCTGTCCCACCCAGCAGCAAGAGTAGTACTCTGTGGTGTGACAGGGAGAAAAGAAACCAACACCCTAAAGGCTCCTCTCAAAAGTTCTTGGTTTTTCTTGTTTTGTTGAGATGGGATCTGTCACTGGCCTGGAGCCCTTAGGACCTGCTTGACTTTGCTTCCCCAGTGCTGGAATTACAAGCAGGCTGCTGCCTGTCCTTTTGTTGTTTTGTTTTGTTTTAATTAATTAATTTTTTACATGGGTTCTGGTGAATGAACTCACTGCTGATAAGGCAAATACTTTACTGACTGAGCCATCTCCCCAACCTTGGTTTTTACTTTTCTCCTCCGCTCTGTGTTTCTTTTTATAGCATGGTGGGGCAAACCCAGAGCCCCATGTATACTAAGCAAATTCTTCACCAATACTACTCAGCTACTTTCCCAGCACCCCAAAATTTATAAGTGGGCCTAATGAACCCCTTAGGGAAGTTTATGCCATGCCACCATCCCCTCCCCCTTCTCTCGTCTGCCCTCCTAGCCCTGCTCACTAGTATTTTGGTGGTGTAGGCACTGTTGATGGAGATGGCATGGACCAGAAGGTCAAGAATCTTGGGGGTCAGGGCGCTGGGAGCTGGAATCTCTTTGTAGTGAGTGTCTCCTAGGTAGGACTGGACCACGGTCATGCGGTTGGTGGTGAGCGTGCCTGTCTTGTCAGAACAGATGGCTGTGGCATTGCCCATAGTCTCACAGGCATCCAGGTGGCGTACCAGGTTGTTGTCCTTCATCATTTTCTGTAAGAGGCAGAGACCAAGTGGGAGGTGTTTCAGTTGTTTACTCATAAGGATAAAAACAATGTGAGTGACACTAATAGTCCATTTGGTGGCCTTGGTAATCTTTTCGCTAGGTGGTAGTAAAACTAAGAGAGTAGATATGTGAGATGCAAGAGCTGCCATGAGATGGGAGACAGCGAGCTTCCAGGAAGCTACTCTCTGCATGGCTGACTTAGAAAACTATCTATCAGAGCTCCCTCTTCAATTTCCTGCTAGCTCAGTTTTCCTCCACACTCCCCTGGGTCTTCTTTATGCTCCCACTGCCTCCCAGTGTCCCCAAACCTTTTATAAGACTCCTGCCTCCCTGCCTTCTCACCTCTACCCCTGCAAGCAGCAACAGTTCCCTTATTTCTCGGCTCTTCCGACTCTCCCTGCCAGTGTTCCACCGATGCCAGAACCAGGACTCAATACTAGCTTGTTTTCTAGCTCTCCCCATTGTGTCTAAGGGCTAAGTGGGTGTTGTGGGGACCCTCTGTTAGGATGTATTAGTGAAATCCATCTCACCCAGTCCCTTCCCTCTTATAGAGACATCCTCAGCTTTCCATAGCCCCAACTACATCTAAGGTGCTTGATGACATCCCACTCTAGTTTTGGGGCCTGTGTGATGGAATTAATTCTAAGTAGTAGTATTATTACCTTGACAGAGTAAGCCAAGGAGATAGTGACAGCAAGAGGAAGGCCTTCAGGGACAGCCACAACCAACACAGTGACTCCAATAATGAAGAACTTCACAAAGTACTGCACATAGACGGGTGTGCACTCTGCCAGCCACACCCTGCCATCCACGACGAAGGTCTCAATCACAAAGTAGAGGACCAGGATAATGACAGTGATAGCAGACATCACCAATCCTGTTCAGCCGTGACAGAGCAGGAGAAAAGGAGGGAAGAAAAGTTGAGGACAATGTAGTCACAGCTGGCCTGAGCCCAGCCAGGGCCTTTGCAAGGGGTTGATGTATTTGGGTCATCTTTCAAGATAAACAGCTTAAGGGATGACTCCACAGAGTGTGAGGTTTTGGGATAGCATATGCTCCAATTCCCCAGGATAGTGTGATGTAAAGAGCAGGAAGCCGAGTGTATGAGAGGCACATTTTGTGAGGGACTAGCCATCTTCAGATGTTGGGGTTCTGGCCAGCAGGTTCTTAGTATAGTTGACTTCCTCTTGACTGTGATGTGGCCAGAAGCCTGGAGTCTGGGAGTCTGCTAGGTAATAAAAGAGTGTGTGACTTATGACTCATTAAGGTGGGGATGCCAAACCAGGACTGGACAGTCATGGTTGACTCTGGCCTGCATCTACAGTATATACCACACTCTTCTAGAATACTGTCCATCTATCTGTACATGAATTTGCCTAGGGCCAAGACAATATTCTGTTCATTGAATTCACAGTATCTGGAACTGATACTGCTTCCAGGAGCCCAGTGTCCTCTAGGCTTCTGGCCCGCTGCCTCTGTCCGAACGTACCTGCTTTCCCAATCTGCACAGCCAGTTTTGTGAGCTTCCCTTGCAGGACTGACTTCTCCTTCTTGGGTACGTTGGCTTTCTTCTTTTCACGCTCCTCCATTTCCCCACCCTCGGCACTCTTCAGGGGCTGCATTTCCATGGCAACAGCCCCATCCTGCTTCTTAGCTGTACATAGAAGAAACCCTGGGATGAAGTTAGGGCCAAGCAAGGGTAAAGAGGCTACAAAAAGGCTATCACAAGGAAAGACATGTCTCATCATATGGGATTCAATGGGGCACTTTTAATTTCAAGTTTTTCAAAGGGAATCTGTAGGCCTTTCTCTGCTGCTTCCTAATCCCAGGCCCTCCTGCAGTAAGCACACAGCTGCAGCATTGTCCTATGTGGGACAGAGAGATGGTTCTTTTGTGGGAAGGGTGGACAGACAGTAGCACAAGGAATTTGTGCACAGACAAGATGGCCAGTCTTGGAATGCCCCAAATCTTAATACCTGAGAAGTCCTGTGGTTGGTCCAAGGAATGTTCTGGAACCAAAATCTGATTCATTTGCCCACGGATGACCAAGCCACCTCCACTTTCCCCTCAGGGACACTAAGGAGCCCCAGTATATACTCCTTTTATCTCAAGCACCCCTTCTCAGACTGCCTCTTTCCATGGGCTCTGTGGACAAGCCTGTCCTATCCTTCTGCTATTTCCCTAACTCTCTCTTGGCTCAGGTGGCTCCCCTCATTCCTCCTTTTTACACTCCTTAGTTTTCATTCTTGCTGCCTTTGTGGTGGTAACATGTATGTCTCATCTCCCTCTTTGCTAAGCTTTACATAGTCCTGGGCCTTGGGCTTCTCCAGGTATACTGCCAAAAGGTAATCAGCTCCACTCTACCTACTTCCTCCACTCTTACTAAGGAAGGGGTTTCCTGACTTAGTAGTTGTGGGAGTGTCCCCCAGTTTGTCTTTTTAGCTTTCCTTGTGCGTCCATTCACCTCACCTGGGAGCCCAAATCCACTTACCGTACTTCAGTCCTCCTAGCAGCCTTGAGGATATGCCAGACTCTGTCCAGTTGTGTCACTATAGCTTTGAGCCCCTGCCTACTGTTATTCCACTTAGTAAGAGCCCCAGACATGAGCATGTGTCCTCTACCCAAATCCCTACCAGTTTCAGTTATCTTCCAAGCTCTAGCTGACTACTCTTACCTGAAAAATTCAAAGGACTGGCACCCAGGGAATTTTAGCAAGTTACCGTCTCTCTTTCTATGTCTCAGTTTCATCATCTGGCCAAAGTGATCTCAGGGTGTCCATTCATGGGTAATTCTCATTTGTGGACAAACTTAAGCCATGCTGATAGCCTTGAAACTGACTAGCTGTTTTCTAGGTGGCCCATCTTAGGCTTTAGGAAAGCAGCATCTGGTAGAAACTGGAGCATCCTCCAAGGGTGTCCCCTTCACTGTCAAGCCAGGAAGGGACTTTGGGGTCCACTCACCTGTCTTTATGTACTGCTTCTGCCATGGTAGCAGGTGGTCCCTTCCCATCCTCCCTTCTCTCCCTCCTCCCCCAGGCTCCTCAGCTGCTTTGAGCCATGCACATAGGCACACGCGCACGCGCACGCACACACACGTTACCTCTGGTCTGGCTATTGTCCATCGCCCCATCCTGCTGCTTGCCTACAATGGAAGAGGAATGACAGACACAGAGAGACTTGAGAACACCCATGTGTCCATGACATACAAAGAAGCACAAGAGAATAGGAAGAGCTTGGGCACATACAGTAATTTGTGGCTCTATAGGGTAGAGGATGGAAGGAGAGGCCCATTACTGGTGGCCTTGACCTTGCCTATGGAAGGGCCTTCTTGATGTCCTACACTTTCCAGGAGCAATCTGTCAGTACCTCCCAGTACATGTTCACCACATATACTCTGGGTGTCCTGGGACAAGCCCCTGCCCAGTGTTTCCCATTAGGCCTTAACCTCAACTCTACAGTAAGTCTCTAAAGCCAGTCCTGGATGGGCCCCTGGTCAGATGACGTAGCTGTGGACAGTTTCTGGAAGGCCCGCTTCCCTAAGTACTGTCCACTCCTCAAAGGTCTGGTCTTTTGGACTCAACAGGAGGTAACCAACCCCAGCTTTCTACTCTACTCTGAGACCACCGCTAGCAGGTATGTGTGTTTTAAAGGGCTAAGGGTTCTGTCTGTTTCAGAAACCTGTTAGGCACAGTCAAACTATGGGTCCAGGATCAGTGTACAGAGGAAACCTAAGTGTGGAGCACCTAGCAGCACTAGGTAGAAGCCACCAGACTGGATGACTGGTGGCTCCACCTGAAGCCTCAGTTTTGATACGACCCACACTGCCAGCCACTCTTTCTGAGGACTGCGCAGCTCAGGTGGCAGTCAGAGGAGTTCATCTGGGAGCCACATGTGATCTGGTCCCCATTTAGGGAGGAATTGGCCAGTACAGGATCAGTTCCCACCCAGTAGCTCATATCCCTTGGGTCTTAAAGGACAGACGGGGGGGGGGTCAGGTAGCTTCTAGACAATGGAACCAGGGTCTGGAGTCCCAAGAAGAGAGACACTTCCAGCCAGAAGCATGACATATATTGGTCCGTCTCTGCTCAGAGGTAGTTTAGAGGTGAGGGAGATCACTTTTTGTGTGTGTGTGTGTGTCCATGTCAATGGATGCCAAGAGAGGACATTAGGGCCTCTGGAGCTGGAGTTACAGGTGGTTGTAAAATGCCCAATATGGTGCTGGGAAGCAAAGTGCTCTTAACCACAGAGGAATCTCTTCAGTCTCATGAAAGAGGCAGACTTCTAAGAGTAGAAGAAAGACACTGATGGATACAGGATGACAAGGCAATGAAAACAAGGCACAGTGAGGATGCTCTATAGACCTGGAAGTTCTAGACCTATAGACATCTGAGGGAAGGTTGACTACAAAGCCAACCTGCAGAGGCTCCAGAGGATGAAGGAAGTGAGGTTTGGAGTGAGCATCATTAGAAGAGGTAGCCTGGAGTAAAGGAGAACACAGAACGTGAGGGAGGTACTCAAGAAGAAAAGGGTACACAGGAGTCATTATAAAAGACAGGAATAGATGGTAAGGGTGGCAGGTTGACAGTGTTGACAGGGAGCAACTTCAGACAATGGGTTGACAGAACCACAGGATTCAGAAAGTAGAAGAGGAGGGAAAACACAGGACAAGATAGATGCTGTTCCCTCCAGCCCCTCAGGGTATTCCTCCAAGAAGTTGGCCCACTTTGACTCCCTAAGTCTTACAACTTAGGAGTGTTGGAGAAGTGCAAATAGTCTGGGCATATCTGGATGAGGAATAGTCAAGTTGAAAGAGGAGGGAGAAGCCTAGGACCAAACTGTGAAGAATATTTAAGGGATAAAGCCAGAAGACCAGGAGCTTGGAAAAGAGCTGCAGGGATACCAAAAAAATGCAGGTTATGGCTGTTCAATGGAGAGACCCTGCCTTCAAAGGGAGGGGGTGTGTTTCCTAGAGGGCCTTATGTGAAAGGAGCTTCTGTCAACTAGGCAGAACTAAGAGGGCACCAGGCAAGGTCCTCTAGCTTGGGGACTCATACTAAGCCCAGCTAAGCTTGTCTGGAGCACAGAGTAAAGTTGTGGGATAACAGTGGGACAAGATCAGTAGAGATAGGGTGCTTGGTGCAGGTGTCGGGAAACCTGGTCTACCAGCAGCAGGGAGGTGCCCATACAGAAAGTCAGATGACCAGACTGCCAGGAAACATGGATAATGAAAGCTTTTTTGATTATAGCAGTCCTGCCAGCTCATGTTTCTCTGTCCCCTAGTACAGGGGGCTTTAAGAAGTTGCCTAAGGTCAGGACTACTAACTTGTTCTTCCTCATGCTGGTTTGTCCCCTTGAAGTCGAAGACTGATTGCTCTGCCTCTAGGTCCTTTAAAATGGACAGGCATGCACCTGGAAATTTCTGCTCCCTGGTTACCTGGGGCTGTGGAATAGAACTGAGGACAGATTGCTCACCTGAGTCACAGAAAAGCGGGGTCTGCCTGGTGTGGGGAAGCTCTGTAACTCCTCAGTTTTGAGTGCTAGGGCAGAATGGGGTAGGATAGTAGCTTTGTGGTAGGGAGCCCAGGGCCACAAGGAAGCTAGACTCTCTAAAATCCTTTGTTTCTAGCCATTACTGTCTCCAGGGCCAGGGTTATCACTTGCTGGAGAGCCTGTCCTTCCCAAACCCATCCAGCATCCTTGGCCTTGGCTATCATTTTAGAAAATATCCCTATCTGTTCAGGAGACTTCCAATTTGGACTTTGTGACCCCCTCACAAAGTCCTATAGGGCTCCTTCCCTATAGGAGTGGAGTGCTTTCAGGGTGGGCATGAAGACTCCCCAGCAGCTCCTTCTTTTGTTCCTTTTTTGTTGTTTTGAGACAAGGTTTTTCTGTGCAGCCCTGGTTATCCTGGATTTGCTTTGTAGACCAGGCTGACCTCAAACTCACAGAGATCTGCCTGCCTCTGTCTTCCTAGCGCATGCACCACCATACCCAGCTTCCACTTGCATCTTTCATAATGAGGTAAGAGATTACATATCTGTGACCACACTCCACCCCAGGGACAGATGTACCAAAGCCATCAGGGAATAGCCATCTAAGGAAAGTTTCCCCTATACCTGCTGGCTCTTTTGGAAAAATACCAGAAAAATCAGAAGACCCAGAAGAGGGTGGTGGCCTACTACCCATCTCGCTGGATTGGCCAGCAGGCAGATGAAGAAACAAGAACAGTGACATACAAGGGAGTTGCTTCATCATCTCTGACATTAGAAGTCATAGCTGCCTCACCTTTCTTGTCTTTCTTCTCCTCCTCCTCTCCACCTGCCCCAAGCAATGTAAAGATAATGCCTGTCTGGGAGTTCACACCAACAGCTGTTATCACCATTCTTCCAGAACCTTCCATGACATGAGTGCCTGGCACAGAAATACAGAGGAACTAAGAGAGAAAATCTCACAGCCTGGTAGGACATACTCAGCAGCCATACGCTGTTTCTTAGGGTTTCCCTGAAACAGAAGTCATTGCAACTGTTGACCCCTATGTCTAGAGTGCAACCTGTCTCCAGGCTTGGGGTAGTGGATATGACCCAGAGGACCACAGAGTGGCAGGTCCTTATGGGAGCGAGCCATTCACAGGGCCTCTGTGAATGGCCATTCACCAGGGGCTCTGGTCTTTCTGTCTACTTTCATACTACATTTCCCATTAAGACAAAATTAGGCTGAATGAGAACCTTCTAGAAAAGGAACAAAGTGCCCACTGGATCATTTTCAAAGTATAGATGTGGAAGGAGTACAATATTGACTCCAGAAAGCCCTCCCCATGGGATGTCCCATTCATGATACTAAGGGCCATCTTGAGCAGAGAAGACCCATTACTTTGCCATATGGCTGGAGCCACAACACCAGGCCTCCAGTGACCTGTTCTGGCATGGCAGTGGGTACCATTCTCAGACTTCCCAACCCAAACAGTTATTCAGGGAGACCCTAGTTAAGGCAAGTCCAGCAGAATGGCTTAGCTGGGAATGCTAAGCCGATGGCTTTCAAAGTGACCATACACTGGGCTGTTTGGACAGGTGACCCTCACCTGAGAGCAGCATAGGATCTTTGTCAGCTGATTTGCGTACATGGTCCGACTCGCCAGTCAGGGAGCTCTCGTCGATCTTGAGGTCATTGCCTTGGATGAGCACACCATCAGCAGGCAGAAGGTCTCCTACAGGCCAGGCCAGGCCAGAATCAGAGACTACGGATCCATGGGATCTCCCTACCCTTGCTTCTTCCCGCCATCCCAGGAGAGGTCCTGCCATCTGGGAAAGGACTGGGGATCTCTCTTCTTTCAGCCTCCTCCTTTGAGGTGGGTCATCCACATCTAACCATGTTGTCTAACTCTCATGGAACAAAGACAACGCTTGGATCCTGCAGTAGTGGGAGAAGACCTCTTCAGAGGCTGTGAGGCTACCCTGCTTCCTGTAGGCATTGTTGTGTCTCAGCTTCCTTTTCTGGTTCCCCAAACCCTCTACGCTCCAATCTCAGGCCCCTGTGGGTGAAAACACACAGATGACTGGAGAGACAGTCTGAGCTTGGGAGGGATTCCTCTGGCACACCCTTCTCAGAAATGGTACTTAGGCTTTCTTGGCAGGGTGGATGAAGATGGGAACACTTACCGTATTTGACCTGGGCAATGTCCCCTACCACCAGTGCTGCCACAGGGACCTGGAGGAGCTGTCCATTTCGAATGACAGTAAACTTCTGCTCCTGTTCAATACGGCTCTGAAGACCTCGAAACTGCTTTTCCTTACTCCAGTCATTGAAGGCTGTGACCAGTACCACACAGATGACAGAGAGTAGGATGGCAGCCCCCTCGATCCAGCCAGCCTCGGCCTCGCCTTCATCCTCTGCCCCACCTGACACATTCCCACAGGCTGTGTCCAAGGATAAAGGAGAACAGGAAGGAAGGAGAGGTGAAGCCATGGAAACCAAGAGCTGGAACCTCCTTCCAGCCCACATTCTTTGCCCCTTACCTTCACTTTCCTCTCCAGGCGGTACATAGAAGGAGAGACCCAGGGAGACAATGGCAGCCACCTCCAGGATGATGAGAGTCACGTCCTGTAGGGCTTCCCACACCAGCTGCAGGAAGGTCTTGGGCTGTTTGGGGGGGATGAAGTTCTGCCCATAGATCTGCCTACGTTTCTCCAAGTCATTGGTGTTGTCTGCCAGTCCTACATAGTGTCCCAGGAAATTGGAAGAAGCACAGAAGAAGATGACACAGGTTAGACCTCGGTACCATAAGCATCCCTGACTAAGCTGCTCTTGCAGCAAGAGTGGCCCTTGTGAGTCTCTGACCAAAGTATGAATCCCTGGAACTCTGGAGTGGATGCTTAGAGAAGGCAGAGTGGTACAGGTGTGGTACTATAAGCTCCAAGACCAAGCATGGAAGTCAAGCTCTCACTCACAGGGAATACCTAGCTCAAGGAAGGGATGGTAGCCCAGGAAAAGGGGTTATCAATTTCCTGATGCACTTATACGACAGCAGGGCTAGGGAGGGAAGCCTTGGGACTGTGGATGTCTCGATTACTGAAACACCAACCCAGCCCATACACCTTCCATGTTTGCTGTCACTTCCATGTCCAAGATATCTGGGGGAAATGTTTTCAGAAAAGTGATAATAGCCAACAAGGGGGAGGGCAGCAAGGATCCAAGAGTGTGGTAGTATGTGCCAAGGGTAGCTGAGACAGGAACAGGACAAGTCAGCCAGTGGCTCCCTGGGCTGGGGCTGGGGGTGGGGTGGTCCAGTATCTAGGTGGCTTCAGTGGGTTTGTGAGGAGATCACCTATCAAGGGGGTCCAGGTAATATTACCCAATATTCACCCAAGCATCAAAGAAGTGGCCAGGGCCCTCTCCAAAGGGATCAGACAAGCTGTCTGTCTCTTAACACTTAGATTCCATGTCTCTTTCAGAGTGCTCTAGCACACACACAGGATTGCAAGATGGGACTGTGTGTTTGAGACACTGGCTGAAAGTGAGGCAATCCCTGGACCTTGGCCACACCTCCTTATGGCCTACTGTTTCCAAAGACAGTCAGGGCCACACAGCTCAACCTGCAAAAGAGGTACAGTGGAAGCAGAAACCAGGGACATGGGGGTATCCAGAAGCATAGCTTGTTGAAGAAGATAGAGCAAGGTCTTCTGGAGCTGGATGGGAGGCCTACTTTCTAGAAGTTTCTCAGGGAAGGAGCAGAGAGAATAAGTGTCAGAGAAAGTTCTTAGGTCCAAAAAAAAAACCGAGAAGGATACTGTCTTGTGAGGAGATGAGAGGGAGTCTGGAAGCCCTTCAAGGCAGAAGTATGGAAGAAGCTGCGGACTAGGAAGCTGATCTTATAGGTTGTGCAGGGAGGCTGCTCTCCATTGGAAAGGGAGGGACTCTGTTCACCAGTTCCAGAGAAACTGGTAAGGCTGGAGGTTGAAAGGACCAGCACAAGGAAAGGACAACAGAGTTCTACAGAGGCTGAGCTACCATGACAGAGTTGAGGAGATGATATCCCAAGGTCTGGTGGCCACAGTGTCCATAGTGCCCACAGTGTCCACAGTGCCCACAGTGCCCACAGTGTTCAGGCACATAGCTTCCCTATAACTCACACCTTCTTAGAGTGTAGCTATGGGGCTAAACATGAGCTATTATTGTCTGGGGACAGTTCTGCAAAATTCAGTGACCAGCTTCCCCAAAAGCCCCATGGTTTGTTTTCATTGTCACTTGTCATCCCTGAGGATGAGAGATGGGAATGGCTGAAGCTAAGGAGATTATCAATAGTTCGTGCGGAAAACAAGGGGAATGGAGAGGAAAGGGAAGTTCTAGTCTAGGCTCTCTCAGTTCTAACATGAGACACTTCAGTCAAAGAAGGGTTCAAGGGCAGGGAAGACCTTAACTCATGGCTTCAGGTCCTTGGAGGTAACCTCCATACAGACCTCAGGCAAGTAAGTTGAAGCCATTACCGTTATCCAGGCTCTGCAGGCTGATCCAGCCCTGCCTTAGGTTCAGCTAGGACTCCAGCGCTACACCCCAAAGGGACCAGCTCCATACTGACACCTAGTGGATGGACGGCAGCTTGAAACTCCCACCAGAGTCACTGGCGTGGCTTCTACTACCTGCTGAAGGAGCTGGGTGGTGATTAAAAGGGCCATCCAGTACACAGGGCATGCATACACAGCAGGCTGAGTTTAGGACGGCTCATAAGACTCAGCCCCAGACCAATTACCAATAAGAAACTGCTGACAGTGGGCCTTTCACAGAGGAGTAGGGTGGAGCTTGAATGAAGTGGAAGGACTGAGAAGAGCAAAAGTCACAACAAACACAGCCTTGGCACGTCCACATCATCTAGCCACACGGTGTCCTTCCCACCCTGAAGGCTGCAGCTGTCCCTGCCTTTCTTTTCCTGGCCTCATTGAGCCTGGCCTGGGCTGGCAGCTCAGATTTCTGCTGGGGCCAAAGGCTTCTTTCTGAAGTCCCACAGCTTCCCCAGTAGGGTGTCTGGGAGACCTCAGCCTCTGTGGTAACAGTGGTGGGGACAAGAACGAAGCTGGTAGGGAGGCAGCCTTTCCTCTAGATTGAGCCTTTTTTTTTCTTTCAACTGACAGCCATGAGAGATGCAACATTACAAGGGATGCACTGGAACTCTGAGCGCCTAGATACTTAGGGTTTACACTGCCCTTTGCCTGGAGCCCCCAGAGAGGGGACATGATCCATTCTAACTTCTAGAAAGCCTGTGAGTCCCACGGTACCATGTGATTTTACTTTCTGACAGTCCCATACCTCCATGCCCAGATTGTCCCCAAGGCCAGTGAGGCCTTTAGGCCCCTTTTCCCAGCAGCTCACTCACTTTTCCTCCTCTGCCTTGCCCTTGGCCTTGGCTCGTCCTTGCTACTGCAGCAAAGCTTCCCCGTCTCCTTTTCTTGATCCTGCCAGCTGCATTCAGATTGACCCTGAAGTGTTGGCCTTTCTCCAACTGCTGTGGTATCATTGTGTGTGTGTGTGTGTGTGTGTGTGTGTGTGTGTGTGTGTGTGTGTGTTAAAGAAGGCAGCTGTGGTCCCTCTAGTTCCTAGCACGTGTCTATCTAGCAGGTCCAAGACGTGGGGACAGAGTCTGGGTGGTTGGCATGGACACATATGGGCTGCTTGCCCAGAGCAGAGGCCAGATGCCATCAGAATTGGATTAGGACCACATTGTGTCAGCTCTCAGCTAATCTGCTCCCTCCTTCTTTTGACTGCCTGTGGAGAGTGGACAAGACAGGAGCAGGGCACAAAGCCCTCCAACCAGCCTGCTCTGAGGTTCTTGACCAGCACACAAGGCCCTTCTTCAGTATGGGTTCTGGAATCTGTCTGAAGCTCTGCAGAGGCTGAGAGATCACTTGATTGATGCAATAACTGCCAAAGTACCCTCTACCAATGTACCACATACCTACCTGACCCCCCTGTCCTCTATCAAACCCCTCTGGGCATCAGGGGATTAGAATGGGGTCCAAAGTACAGTTAAGCCTGCCCCTGCCACTAAGAAGGCATGCTGAGGAGCCTGCCTGCTCAAGGTTTGCTGAGCCGAGGAAATGCAGGAGTAAGAGTCACCTGCTCCTGGCCCCAGACAGCTGGGCCCAAGGAGCCTAGGGGGAAGGGCTGGTCCCTAGGCTGCCATGGGGACTTAGGGTTTCAGAGGCCTCTCAGGGGCTGAATCACCCACCTGGTTCTTCACGCCCACCCCATTTACAGGCACCAGATGAGTTTTGGAGCTCTGTGGCAGAATCGGGCAGGTTCCCAGGGGCCTTGACATTTTAAATATTTAACAAGGCCTGACAGGCAGAGGGAAGAGCTGCCAGCCAAAGCCCATCTGCTTCCTTTGATCTGGGAGAGGCCAGAGCCCTTGTGGCTAAAAGGTCCTCTACCTCAGCCTTCTCAGAGGTCCCAGGTCCTGGGGGAGGGGCAAGGAGGAGGAAGGAAAGAGATCCTTTGGCACGGATCCCAGACATCTGCCCTGTCAAAACTCTGCTTCAGACTGGTGGGGAGTGGGAGGTTGGGAAAGCAGCTGAATAGGATGTCCACGGGTGCAGCAGCTCTACAGCTCAGTTCATGAAGACTGCGATGGCTCAGGGAGGCCACCATATCTGGAGTCCTTAACTTGGCCCATGGCCGGCCTTCTCCTATATGTAATGCTTCCTTGGGCCCATGTACCACTATCTATGGACAGAGGATGCTTCCTTCAATCCACTTGGGTCAAGGCTAGAGTAAGAGCATCTGGTGTGTGCCCTAGAGGCTCTGAGTGGGACAAGAGCAGAGCAAGGAGGCTGGGGGCAATGAGTACAAGAATGGGTAAGGTCTGGTGATAGGCAGGCCAGGGGAACCAGTGAGCACAGAGAAACTAGATGGTGGCCAGGACTTGCAGGATGAGGTGGGCCAAAGTGCTGCCACTAAGGTGAGCAGCTCATAAAATCAATCAGCTAGGAAGCTGGCTAGGAAGCAGGCCTGGTATTAGATTGGGATAGCTCCAGGAACCCTACCAGGCCAGTATCAGACAGGCCTGAAAGGGATCCAGCTCCTGGAATCTGAGGCTAGGTTTGGCTCCTTGGTGACCCTAGTCTCACAGAAGACCAAGGAGTTGAGAACCCAAGGGCAGTTCAACCTCCACTCTGGATCTTCTACTCTCACCTTCTTCTACTCATGTTTGTTTGTTTGTTTGTTTGTTTTCCAGAGGCTTACTAGTGTGAGACCTGCACTGTAGTTCTCTGGCACAGCTTGTTACTGCTGTCACTTATATTCGTGTGTCAGTGTGTGTGTGTGTGTGTGTGTGTGTGTGTGTGCACACTCGTGCGCGTGCACATGCATGAGCTCAATGTCAAGCATCTTTCTCAGTTGCTTTCCACCTAATTTTTTTGTGAGGGACTCTTTCACTGAAACTAGAGTTCATTGGTTGGATAGATGAATTGATAAACAAAACAATGGATTTTCCTATCTGTGCCTCCTCAGTGCTGTGATTACAAGAACACACTCCATAGCTTTTCACATGGGAGCTGAAAATGTAGATGCATGACCTTGTGTTTGTATTTCACCTACTGAGCAATCGCCTCAGTCCCAACCACTGCCACTGCTAATGGTATCATGTGACTATTGAGCCCTAGCTTTGGGTTGCCTCTGTGCCATCCTTAGGCTACCCCTTCCTTCCCATGGAGACCCCTGCAACTTGATCCCCAGAGGGCTTCCACGATGCATCTCCTTTTCTCTGGTTCCTCTGAACTGAGCCTAAGTTTAAGCACATGAACCCTTTCCTTGCCCAACCTGGTGGACTTACCCTCAGTAGGTGAGGTCTTCAGTCTCCTGCACAGCCCGCTGACATCTCCATAGGCTTCCTGTATCTTCTGCAGTGCCTCAGCCCCTCGGAGCTCCATGAGGCTGCGTAGCTCTGCCAGCGTGCACCCAAAGCCACCCACATGGGGCGCTTCCCGCTGCTGCTGGGGCTTGGGGTGGAACTCGATGGAACTGTTCACCATGTCTCCCATCCTGTCTGTCAGGCCTTTTCACAGATTCAGCCTCCACTCAGATGCAGCTTGGGACAGGTGGCCACCTAAGATCCCAGTGCTGAGGTGAGGCAAGGTGGTGGTGGAAAAGAGGCTAAGTGTGAACACCTGGGGAAAAGGAGGAAAGAGGAGGCCAAGGGACTGGTTCAAGCAAAATAAAGGCCCAGGGTTCTGGGATTGCTCTGGTCATCTTCATTCAGTGTGCTCTGTGAGTCATAAGTGCCAGATTGACCTTCCAGGTCTCACTAGATAGACCCCACACACACATCATGAGCACTCAGAGCTAGATGGTTTCTTAGGTGGGGGAGCAGGGAGTGGTAGGGCCCTCCTGCCACCAGCACCAGCCAGCTCTCAAACACATTTGGAAGGGGTTAGCAGTAGCTGCTCTTGCTTCATATGCACAAGAGATTGGTGACCCCCCCCCCCAGCAGCTTCTTGCTTGACCCGAAAGCTTGCTTCCTGTTTTTGCTTGAGTAAGACTCGCCCAGTGTCACTGACATGATCTAAATCCCCAGCAGTCCTCAGTGGCTCAGGCCTGGGCTGTTTGAGGCTCCAGGGGATAGACTGTGCCATGGAGCTGGGCTCCTTGTCAGTGCTGAGTGTAAATGGTGTTTCTGTGGCCCTCAGAGTACCTAGGGGTGGGAGGAGGAAGAGAGGAGGTCCAGTGGCAAGTAGAGAGTAGAAAAAAAAAGATGATGGAGGAAGGCAGTAAAGAGGAATGGACAGGGAGTGTAGAGTAGGCATAAGAGGAATGAAAGTGGAGGGGACCAGGAGAGGCTACACAGGAGAAAGCCCAAAGCAACCACAGGTCACAAGTGACTCTGCTGACACCCCGATACCACAACAGAATGACAAAGGAACTAAGGTCTTCTTTTCTGAAAACATCCCAACTGCTGCCAGGCCATAACACTTTCCTGCTTTGTGGGGCTTCCTGGGACTATTGTCTTTCTCTCTCTCTTCTGCACCAGTGCAACTTACCTAAGAAACTGCTGTCCTCTGTAGTTATTATCTTCAGCCTTCATGGGGTCCTCCTCCTTCCCCAAGGCCATGTGCCAAACTTGCCACATTTGTCCCCCTAGAACTGAATTAGTCTCAGAGCACAAGGTTTTGGTCTTTTCTATCAGCAAACCACCTTCCTGGCTCAGAAAAACTGGCTCTTTCAAACTCAGAGCCCAGACATCAATCTAGGTTTCTGATAGAGGACCACTTGTGGGGAAAAAAATAACCTAAAGCCCTGAAAAAAAAAAAAAGGCAAAAAGGACCTCATACAGCTAAAACAGAGGTAGTTAACTCCATGGCCCTCACTCAGGAGAGCCCAGTGGGTTAGGTACCTTGAGCCCTATGAGGTGTCATGAACTGTAAATATCACATCTAAGGGGCTGGAGAGATGGCTCAGTAGATAAGAGCCCTGGCTGCTCTTCCAAAGAACCCGGGTTCAATTCCCAGCACCCACGTGGCAGCTCACAGCTGTCTGTAATTCTGGCTCCAGGGGACCTGACGCTCTCAACACAGACATACATGAAGGGAAAACACCAATGTACATAAGATAAAGATAAATAAATAGTTTAAAAAAAATATCACATCTAGAGAAAGAGTAGAGGCTTCAGGGAGGCTTCAGGGAATGAAACATTCCCACAATGCCCAAACATGGAGGCTTCAGCTCTCAAGAAAAAGTGTGTGTGCCTATCTGCAAGATCTGGTGGGCAGTGTGGGGGGCACTTAGAAAATGTCTATCCCAAGTGGTCACCACTTCACAATTTAAGCACCACAGTGTTAACTGTTTCATCAATTTTTACATAGACCTGTCTTCACTCTGGAAGATGTGGGATGAAAATGGCAAATACAGGATGACCTTCCCTTCTTCTCCTAATCCCATGCACATCTCTCCTACCCGTTCTCTCAGTTGCTCATCTTACAAATATTTATTAAACTCTACTACATGCAGGGACTGGCGTTTTGTGCTAGAAGTCAAGACTAAATGAATTGCTTTTCTCTGTGTGGCTGAGCTATAGAAACAAGGTTCAATTCAGAGGTCCAAAGCCCTGGGGTTTCAGGCAAGGCCTTTAGGAAGGGCAAAGGGAAGAAAAGACTGAAAGGAAAAAAAGCAGCTAAGCAAGAATGATGGAGGGGCAGGGACTGGAACCCTTCTGCATGGCTCAGCAGCAGCAGCCTGAAGCACTGGTTCAGGGATGCCAGGGGCAAGCAGTGGTCCCATGGGAAGCTGGGCAGAGTGTGTTCCTTTCGCCAGCACTCTGTGAATGTGCCAGGCCAACCACCTAGGAGGGGGTGAACAAATATTATTCTCATGTCAGCACAAGAAGCTAGGGCTTAGTTAAGGGAAATGACAGAGCCAAAAAAAAAATTGAGACTGCTGCCTCAAGGTAGACATGTTAGCTTTCAACTGATACCTTCCTCCCCTACCCCAGATGACTTTGGTTTAGGATGGTATCCTGACTACTGAGAGTGCTTCTCCCTTCCTATCTCTGACCTGAGCTGCAGTTGCTCCCCAAAATTCCAGCGCATAAGCAATTGAGTACCTGTCAGGTTTGAGTTCTGCTAGCTGCTGGAGAAGATGAATAGGTCTGCCTTGTTTGAATAGGCACTGGCTTCTTAGGCCCTAGCTAGGCAAGGATGCCAGGAAATGCCAGATAAACAAAGCTATATGTACCCAGGTACAAGCAAGTGAAAATGTGGGAGGGTCCCCATGGGCCCTCTGGCCCTTTCAGCCCTTGAGGAGGGGTGGCCAGGACTTGCCTCAGGCTGTGATGCCCTCACAGGCAATGGCTCAGTACTATGTTCACTCATGCTGAGCTTGAAGCCCCAGGGTTCCAGCTGAGGATCCGCATGTTCCCAGCTGAGTTGCCTAAGGAGACTCCACAGGGACTCTTTGGGAAAGGGGAGCCAGATGAAGGATTTTAGTCCTTGGGCCCATTAATCTTTTCATCCATTCTGCCCACCTGGAGATGGGGCTGCTCTTAGGCTCGGAATGAACAGCCTCATGGGTGGGCTCTGAGATGTGTACATGTTCTTAAGAGCAGGTACCTGTAGGCCACTGCTATAGTTACCCAGGTCCAGGCATTCCAGTGGAGGCCAGGGCTTCCCTAATGTAGCTGGTGCACTTTGTCACTAGCAGTGTAAAGCTGCTCCTGACTTTGGAATGTTGACATTGCTGAAGATGGCCAGACATTTGGTGACTCATAGTAAGGACCCTGGGTAGGGAGGTAAGGCCATTGTTTCTGAGGAAGTCAAGCCATCTTACCGCCTTGTATCCAGAGGAACCACTGGAGCTCACAGCACCCCTGCTCTTGTATGACTGTCCTGGGGTCTGTACCCCCCAACACCCTAACGGGCAACCACAGCTAGTTTCTTTTTCTCCCATACCCAAATAAGCAAACCTGACACCATATCTACTAGCAGACAAGTTTCCCTATAGGCTAGAAACTGAGGGTTGAAAAAGCATGTGGCAGAACCAATCGTGGATTATAAGAAGAGTTTCCTGGAGTGGTGGTGCCTAAGCCACTGGTTTTCAGAGCAAAGTAGCAACTAGTCAAGCAGAAGAGCAAATTCCTTCAAAGCACCTTCCAGCTCTTATTCTGCCCTTGGCCTGTTCCACATGCCCCACACAGACCTACCAGTGGCCATCACTCACTCTACCAGAGACCATGTCTGAGCTCCAACAACACATCCTTCTCTCTCATCTGTTGACATCCATTGGATGTCATCTGTTGACATCCAATGGCTTCCATTAGTCACAGTTCTTGTGGAATGTTCTCTAGGATTTATTTACCAGTTAATTTTCCAGCCATAATTAATTACTGATAAGCCCAAGATCCTACAGTCCATTCCTAATTCCCAGGGCTGGCCACAGCCATAAACAGAAAATACCTTTCCTTGCATCTTTAATTCTTTGCAGCACATGGCTGACCACTGAGTTGCCCAAGTACGCTGAGTGGTGTATCCCCGATGGTTATGGGACTGGAGATATTAGTGAGTGGGGCCTGGTTCACAGAGAAAAAGCTTGGAGCTCTGGGAGGTGGGAGCACTATCCTGGGCAGCATGAAACCAGTAGGTGTGGATAGTCAAGCTTTCCTCATCATTCTCAGGACAGACAGAAGGCATCACTTAAGAGGAGGCCCCCTTTTGAGTGACTCTTAGCTGCTGGAGAGAGCAGAAGGCATATGTTCTCATCATCCCTGAGTTGTCTGTAAATCGGGATGATGGCCTTCTCCAGTTTTAATAAGGACAGCAGCCATCACTGAAATGGCCAAGAACAGAAGTGACCAGGCCTATGAGTTCTGCTGGCCTGACAGAGTTTCCTGCTTGGGTTGGCTGCTGAGACTGGCCTGTAGGCATCGAAAGGGCAGGAAATGTACCATTTCTGTACTCTTTCATCTTTCAGACCTTAATTGGCTTAATTGAATTGAGAACCTCCATAGAGGGGCACTTGGACCTTCTGGCATTGGCTCTAGCCTGGCATAAGAGAGAGGAGAAACCTCTCTACCCTATGCATTGAATTTCCTGGTTCAGCTCACCTTCACTGTGTGACTGTCAACAGGTTGCTACCTTAGAAGACAGTGGGTGTTGAAGAAGATAGTACAAGTCCAGATCCATCATCCAAAATGCCTTCTGGACCCTTCCTTTTAGTAAGGCCTGGACACTTTAATCCCTTCAGGCCCAAATGGATTACCTATTCTTCTAGTGAACAGAAGTTCAAGGCTTTTCCTTCCTGGTTCATTCTCTCTCTCTCTCTCTCTCTCTCTCTCTCTCTCTCTCTCTTCCCCCATTCTCTCTCTCCCTCTCCCTCCTCTGGACACTTTGAATGGGTTCTCTGCCAGCTCCTCAGACTTAATATATATGTGCTTCCACTGACCCTAGGCCCTTCAGGAAATGGCGCAGTTCCTAAGGGAAAGGCCCTCTGCTTCTGGGCTTCCTCTTGTCATACCACTTTTAAGACTGGGATAATAATACCTACAATACCCTCAAACCCTCGCTGCAGTTCACTGTGCACAATACCTGTTTCACACAGGGGTCACTGGGGCTCATATGGGACCAGAGACCTCAGGCATCAGGCTCTTGTTTAATGGCCAGAGGTAAGTCCTAGCTGTCCA